GGGTGTATAAGTCGCTTCGGCGTATAAATCGCAGCACTGACAAATCTATGCAAAAAAACTGCAACTTGTACGCCAGAAAATATGGTACATGGAGGTAAGTGCGATTTGATTATATGGTAAAACAGCCTGCCATACTTTAACTCCATGGAGCAAATGAGCAGACCACAGCGCATGTGTGACAATGTTTGCTCAGGTTAATATGCACGTGTTGCAGCCTCTGTGCTCGCTCGCAACTTAACGTCCCAGAAAATACGCCCCCTCCCCCTTTCAGGACGACATGGACACGTCCCTCAAAGGCGTCCAGCAATGGGACAGACTGGACCTGCTCTGCTCCTCCGTGTTTGTTCTGTAAAAACCAAAACACCAAAGCTGAAGGCGGCGGCAGACAAACGCCGATCGTCCTGCGGGACGTTTAAATCTCCTTGTGAGGACACAACCGCTCGTAGTTTCTGCTTTTAGCACCGTGTCCACATCAGGTCTACAAAACTATCAGGACGTTGGTTTCAGAGATTCTTTGAAACAAAACGAGCTTTTTTTTTTAAACGAATGCATTTAACCTTTAAACCGAGCGGCCATCGAGCCGCAGGGCTTTACGTTCCAGCTGCACAAACATCTGACTTGCTTGATTTTCACAACCTGCTGAGTCCGACGACTTCAATGTGGAATTTAGGACATCGGAGCTATTTTTGGCTCCTCTCTCCCTCGGCTGCGCGAGGACCCACATTCAGTCCAGTATTATGTTTATCTGAGTCATTTCAGCTCTTTGGTTATGTAATCCGAGTCGAACTGACGTCTTCTGAGTATTATTTATGATTATGGATGCCATTCATGTGAAAAGAGTCGTATCCGAGAACTTGGTGGTTAAACTGAAGAAAATTATGCTGGAAGCGGTTTTTCTCTTTAAACACAAACTGACAGTTGAGGTCAACATCTTGGTCACAAAGGGAAGTGTGTGACGTCACGCCTTTAATTTCAAAGGGTTGATCCGTCACTACGGGGGGCGGAGCTTCATCTTTGTACGTCGACCCCTCCTGTTCTTCACACGTTCGCACCATGAATTGTTAAATTGTAAATTTAGTCCAGGTGTGATGCCAACCCATCGGCTCGTCTTCCACAGAGAAACCAAACGTCGTCTCTGTCCCTCACCCATTCCTCCGCCGTCTCATGTTTTTGGTACGAACCTCGTTTAAATTGATGTAAATATTTGTTTTTGTACGAGCTTAAAGAGTTCTCAGTTCTGTTGGTCATAAAATGCATCAGCCTGAATAAAACATGGGCATACACAGACTGACAGTTTATTTTTTTAACTAAATAAATACGTACAAAACGAGGGGGAACACTTAAAGTAGCATGGCGTTTTACAGGGTTTAAAACAGTTCATGTGCAAAATGATGATTTCAAACGATACGGTCACAGAAAATATAAAATGTCCTCTCCTGCTGGCTCGTGTGACGCTCTGGTTTTATGTTCGGAGGAAAAGTTTAAAATAAAATAAAAGCCCAACAAAGAGAAAACAAAACTAAAGCATCTCTGCTGCGTTTATTAGGACGACGGTTCCAACAGTCTCTGGAAATGCAAACGACACCTAAAACTTTCAGATGATGGCGTCACGTTTCCTCACATTTCAGCTGTCAACAAAAAATAAATATAAAAAAAAAATAAAAAAAACTGATCAATCATCAACTGGAGTCCAGAGGCAGAGCATCAGAACAATCCAACACCAGGACAAAGACGTTCACCCCCACCGGCTCCCGGGTTCCTGCAGGACGCCAGAGGGCGCGTAGAGGAACCCCGAGGCGGAGGGGCCCAGGCCCCCCAGCTGCTGGACGGACTTGCACATGGGGCAGGGGTACTCCGACAGCCCCTCGATGTCCTCGAAGGCCATGTTGACGATCTGGTCGCAGCAGGGGCTGCAGAACACGTGTCCACAGGAGAGGCGCTTGAGGCGCGCCTCGTAGGAGATGCAGCACTGGCAGTGGGGCAGGTCGGGCCCCAGGGACAGGGACCCCGTCAGCGAGCTGCTGTCCAGGCTGCCGGCTGGACTGGAGCTCATCTTAGCCGGAGACCTGCAGGACGGACAGAGAGCTGAACAACCGTCTGGTGTTTAAAATGAAAAGAGTTCAGCTGAAACGAGCCGAAGGTCGAACCATGAGCTCATCCACCTCGGCTGATGTTTGGTCTGAAACTATTAAATGAAGTGTTGCTGATAAAAATCATCGAGTGGCAGAAATTAACTCCTAGATTTTAGAAAAGACTGAACAACATGTTGAGTAAAAGTGTTTGGAGAGCATTAAACAGTAAAACAGTTTTATTAAAACACCCCAAAAGTTTAGAGTCTGAAAAACGTACAAACAAAAAAACATTCAATGCAGTCGAGTCTCATTCTACATAAATCCATATTTTATCCACAATTTAAAAAAAACTCTTCAAACGTTTTAACAGAGAAAACATTTAAAATCATAATTATGGCAGCAAAACGGCTCAAGTTGCAACAATAAATAAATAAATAAATTATTGGACGTCACATAATAAAGTCAGCCTGAACTGGACCGAACCGGAACCAGTTCGTTCGCAGGACTTCCTTAAATCTGATTTGTAGAAGTTTAATTGTTGGAGCTGTTTGGAAACTGCAGCAGATCCAGAGACTCAACACCTGCAGCTCCTCCTCCACCTGCTCAGGTGTGCCGGGTGGAGGTGACCAGAACCAGGTGGAGGTGATCAGAACCAGGTGGAGGTGACCAGAACCAGGTGGAGGTGATCAGAACCAAGAAGGTTCGGACTCAAACTCATCTCACAGGAGAATTTACCAACATGAAGCTTCAGGGTGTAAATAAATAAAAAACGAGTCTGCAGTGACTCAGAAACCTGTTGTCATAACAACTGGAGGTAATCCGTTAAGTATCAGAACCAGAACCTGGACCTGGACCTGGGTTTATGATTCCGCAGCCTGTCAGATTATTTGAATCTGAATGAAATTAAAGTGGAGCTGCAGCCAGGATTATTACACAATTAGAGATTATCACGCGTCTACATGATGTGCTGGAAGGTTCGGTTCGGACCGAAACCCACAGTAAACAACCAGATGGAGGAGGATGATGATGAGCTCTCACCTTGATGAAGATGAATCTTTGAAGCAGTCGAAGCTGAGAGCCGCGAGGATCCTCCACAGCAGGTCCATCATGCCGGTCCGTCTCATGGCACAGAGCAGGACCCAGAACCCAGAACCGTCACGGGCGGCATGTCAGAACCAGAACACCGAGGCGCGTTAAGACGGGGTCACGCAGCACCCACCTCCACCTCCACCCGGGAGGAAATCCACAGAGGAGTCAGATCTGCACCGAACCGCCTTCCTCCTCATCAGCTTCATCATCTGCAGGCATCTGAGGTAAACAAAAAGCTGCCTCCCCCTCCCCCACCTCCCGCAGGAGCACAAACACGTGTTTCAGGTTTATTATCATTAACAGACCTTTAGTCTCGTGCTAAATTAAATTAATTAATTGATTAAACAATGCACATTCTTGTCTGTTCCAAGTTGTGGATGAAAATAAAATAAAATCTTTAAATGATTTTACAGTAAAATCACTGTTTTGTCTGCAAATCTTTCCTTTTAAAGGCAGGAGCTCCGTTCCTTTTGTGTCTACCGGGGGCTGAGCCGGAGATGGGAAGGGAGGAGCTTCCGTTTTAAAGCGCAGGTGAGGGGGCGTGACCTTCAATCAGGGACAACTTATCAGAGCGATCGAAGTTCACGGAGTCATGAACACAGGAAGAGGCAGTGATCAGCTGATTCACAGATGTTTATCACAGCTGGATCTGGGCAGAGAAACTACTTTGTTGTTTACATCACGTGGTTTATCAGGTGTAGTTGCTGGATCAATCAGCTGATATGGAGCTTATCCAGCCAGCCACTTTATCCTGGGATCTAAAAATGGTGCACAGTTATCCTGGAATAGTTTTTTTTTTGTTTAAATATAAATATTATAAATCCAGATCCCTTAGCAGGCAAAGTATTACTACAACCAATTCATTGCCTTCATTGTTTCTCCCTCATTTGACCACTAGAGGGAGACGTTTACCTGCTCTTTAAGTTAAAAGTCAGTTTTTTTTCCTGCAGTTTAAAATAAAAATCAAAGTTCGGATCGTTCCTGGTTTCTGTCCTTCACAATAAAAGCTGAGTTCAAAAGAAAAGTGTAAAATATTAAAAAACCTGCTCGGAAATGAAAATACGAGGCATAAAGACGAGCTGGAGAACACAGGGAGACAACTCTGAGAAGAGTCAGGGATGCTGTTGTGAGCTGAACAGATGAGGCCTGTTGTGGTCCTGATCCGAACATGTCCTCCAGATGTTTGAGCTCGGAGCTCCACATCTGGAGGAGTCCTCTGGAGGATTCTTTCCAGACACAGAACCTGAGGACAGGAAACAACCAAACCATTGTAGATGTTCGAGGACCAGGACCACTGGGTCAAACTAACAAAAGTAAGAGTTTTTAATTTGTATTTTTGGCAGCATCGTATCTCGGATGTGTTGTGGCAGAGCCGATAAAGGCTGTCAAATTAGCTGCATGGAGGATAATTTTAATTCGGTTTATTTATAAAGCACCAAGTCACAACAGAAGTCATCTCAGGTCACCGAACAGAAACATTTGTATAAAAATAACAAGTTAACACTTTTTATCTGAGGAGCAGAGCTTCATTATCAACAAGTCACAATAAGGAGGACTGGGTGTAAACGGAGAGTTCATCCACTGATGCTGCTTAAAGCTCTATCAGACAAAGAAGAAACCAGAGGCGAACACCATCCAGAACCGCTGTCGTCCCCTCTGGACCAGAGCTCGTTCAAATGGACTGAGGTGAAGTCCATGTTCTCCTCAGGTCCTGGAACAACATCCATAAATAAAATAAGACCCAGGATCCTTCTTCAGACCAGAGGGGGACGACGGTTGTTGAAGGGATGCCTCACAGAGGAGAACACGGTCCTCCAACAGTTTGTGCTGCTCAAACTCACATTTACTTTGTTACATTAAGAGTAAAATGTGAATTTGGGACGTTTGCAACACGTTGCATTCAGTTTTTATTTACATTTTACACAATGTCCTAACTTTTTTTAGATTTAGGGTTGAGGAAAAAGAATCCCTTCTGATTAACATGAACTATAAGAACATTTCATATATGGAGGGGTCATACTGGTCAGACATGAACCTCATCAGGGATGATCCACCTGCAGCTTCTTGGGATAAAAACATGTTTAAAACTAAACTCAGAACGGTTCTTTTTTAAAAATTTTTAAATTTCACTTGTGTCACAGTTGAATAAAACTGATATTTACATCTTTCAAATATTGTGATGAAGACTTTGTTCTTGTTCTGTGGGATGAAGTCCGAGCAGAGATCTGCTCTTATTTACCAGATTATTTATCAGATTATTTGCAGAATGAATGGCTTCATTCTTGTTCCCACCAGGGGCATCCTTGAACTCTAATGGAGCCAATTACAGGCACGAGCCCAAACACGTGCGAGGAGAGGCTCGTTCTGCACAGAGAAAAGATGCTCAAACAGACACCCCCCCCCACCCCCACCCCCGTGAATCAGAGTCAATGTCATCACAGGTTGGATGGAAAATATTCATCTCCATCCATGAAAACCAGTCAAAGCCCTTCTGCCTGTTTCTGGGAGGACTGGAAGAGGGGTGGGGGGTGGGGTCTCCGTGCATGAAGGATGCTGTGTAGTAAGTGAGGGGGGAGGAAGAGGGAGGAGAGTGCATCTCCTTGCTACTACGTCAGTGTCAGTGAGAGGCGCGCGCAGGAACCCGGGTGACTCCCTGCAGCTGAAGCATCACCCTGACATGAACTGACCTTCTCACCAGCAAAGGTAAGAACATTTATTTTCACTCCATGTCTTTATTTTTTTACACCCCATCCTACTGTCACGCGCAGAATGCACCGTTTCCGAACCGCTCCAACCCGTGCGGGAAGATTTCTGACACTTCTTGATGATTAAAGGCTTTGACTGGACCTGAGCAGCTCGAGCCCTAAACCCGGTCCAGCACGGGTTCAGGGATAAATATTTGGTTAGAAATGTTAGAAACTGTGCAGGACGTGTTTTTTTTTTTTTTTTGCGCCTCGATGCGAAATGCGCCCGGTGGTCCCTTTTTGTTCCTTTGCGCTGAGAACAAACCTCATCCATCCGCGCGCGGACCCGCAGGAGGAAGGATGGATGTTACACCGTGTTCTGTCGGAACAAACAGCAGCTCCACATTTGGTGGTTGTTCTCCTCAGTTTGTGTCTCAGCTGCACCTTCAGGTCACCCGTCAGCTGTTCTGGGTCAGTTTTATTAAACCTGCTCCTGTAGCAGGAGATCCTGCGTCGTGCGTCAAAGTGACCTTGTGGAAACCCGGCGGGGGGGATGAGAGGAAGCAGAGATGATGCCGGAAGGGTTCTGTTCTCTGTTTGCACGACAAAATGCGGCGTAGAGCTGCAGGATGATTCATTCAGCAGCTCTCCTCAGCCTGTGATGCGTTTTACAAGTTTGCATGTCTGATGCCTTCTCCCCGTGGCAGCCATCACTGCAGCTCGTGCTGCAGCGTCACCGACAGGACAGAGCTCTGCTGGGAACATGAAGTGTGTGACCTCAGAGCTAAACACGTTTAGATTGGACCTTTCACTTTTAGAATATTGTTGGTTTCTGTTTGCAGGTTTTCTCCTCAATCTTTAGATTATATGTGTCAAACGCAAGGCCCGGGGGGCCAAATGTGGCCCTCGTTGACATCTGATCTGCTCCCCAAGATGATGTTTCAATACTTTTTTCACAATTTCTTATCAGTAATCTTTGATTATGACGTCCAAAGTGCAACAGAGAACATCATGAGACCAATCAAACTCTTGTTGAGGAACCTGCAACCAAGAAAAGATGTCGAGCATCTAACTTGAGTTAATTCTGAAACCGGCCCTTAGTTTGAACAAGGTTTGAATTTTGGCCCCCGTTTGTGAGTTTGACACCCCTGCATGTGGTTGGGTTGTTTTCTCCAAAGCTCTATGAAATGGTCTTTGATGAATCCACGTGCATGACCCGAGGGTTTTAGTGTTGCAGAAGTTTGCTGCAGGTGTTGCAGCTGGTCAGAACTGTTGCTCTGGACGGTCGCAGGTTCGCCTCCTGCTTGGAGCCTGTCTGCGTGTTTACATGTTCGCCCCGTCCATGTGCATGTATCGCCCACTGTCCAACACACTGCAGGTCATAAGTGTCACAAGTGTGGGTGAACGTCTCAGCGATGGACCGGGGACTGTCCAAAGTTGTGATGGACTGAGCTGAAGAAGAGGAGTTCCAGGAATCCTTGAAACAAACGGACATTCTCTTTATTTATAAAACGCTTTAACCAGGCACGGGACCAAAGTGCTTCACGAAATACGATAAAACAGAAGACATAAAAAGATTGATCATTAGGAGCAATAAAGAGTTAGTATGTTAATAATCCATCCGTCTGGTATCTTTACCGGCTTCTTCCTTTTCAGGTGGAGGGGGTCACTAAAATCAAAACACATTTCAGAATCTAAAGTTTCTCCATTTCCTCCTTAGCTTTATCATTTGGTTCGATCCAATTAACACTTCCTGTGTTCAGCTGTTTTCAAGCCTCCAGCACGATAAAAATAAAAAAAGACAAGTAGTCTATCTATCTGTCTATCTGTCGATAGATCTATCTATCTAGAAAACACAAAAGAACTAAATGTGCGTTCTTACAAGCAGAACTGATGTATTTCAAACATTCATTAAACTTAACAAGGTAACGGTGTCACTATGTGCAAATTCCAAATACAAATGTAGAAACTGAATAATGTTCAGGTGCAGTACAGACATTTAATGTGTGGTCGTCACAGGAGCGCACGGCTCGCCCACTGACCTGCAGATCAGAACAGGTAAAGAAAATGAATTTAAAGTTTTATTAAGTAGAACAGTTGTTTTTCAGTCACAGTAATAACAGCACACAAAAAGAAACTTGTATCTTAAAGGAAAAACATTTTCTAGGTTTTAATCAGACGACCGTCGGTGAAACTTCTTATTTTCAGTGAAGTCGTCCTCGTCGTCTTCCACATGCGCTCTGGGTGAATCGTGGTCTGTGTGACCGACATGCTCTACTAGAAAGTTCCTGGAGAGACTTTGACGGGGACTGCCACGTGGCGGTGTTTTTAAAGTTTTGATTTGACAGTATGTGCGTTGGGGTTCGCCCTCCGCTACCATCATACCACATTAATGCTCAACGTGCAACAAATCAATGAGGCCGTCATTTTTTCTTTTAAGCTATGGTGGCCATCTTTGATTTTTTTTTATTTATTTGGGCTCAGTATGTGATGGGGAACGTTCTCGGATATAATCACACCAAATTTCCACTCTGTTTGTGTAAAAATAGCTGAGTTAAAGACATTTAAATATAGCTTTGGTGGCCATCTTTGATTTTTTATTTTTTTTTAATTGGGCATTGCTTTCAGCTTCCAAAACACCAAATTTCAGCTGATTAGCTCTAAAAATAGTTGATTTACAGAATTCTTCCTTTTTAGCTCAGGTGGCCGTATTTGATTTGCAATCAGTCTATTATGGATCGCTCTCAGCTACCAATACACCAAATTTCAACTGATTAGCTGATTAGAGTTATAGACATTTGAAATTAGCTTTGGTGGCCATCTTGAATCAAAATGGCTCCAAAAGTTAGTTTTGTTCCGACACTTCTCCCCTCTAGGTCACGTGACCTCGCCGTGACAATTAGAAAATGTTAAAAGTTCTATCAGGCTTTTTCGATGAGAGAAATGGCGTCTTTGTTAGCAAATTACGTTGCCATGGTAACTCAAAATGCCAATAAAAGTAAGAGCACACATCACGGTGCCGAGCCGGTCGTTCTGATAAAACATTTGTGGGGGACACGTTGAGGTCTGGGCCGCAGTAAAGTTGAAGGAAGAGCAAGACCCTTATCAGGTGGATAATAACATGCGGCTGCCTCAACCACTCTCTTCTTCTTCTTCTTCTTCTTCTTCTTCTTCTTCTTCTTTCAGCTTTTCCCTCTTCAGGGGTCTCCACAGCGAGTCCTCCTCCTCCATCTCACTCTGTCCTCTGCATCCTCTGTCCTCACTCCATCTACCTCCATGTCCTCTCATCCATATGTCTCCTCTTTGTCTTTTTCCTGGCAGCTGCATTTCCAACATCCTTCTACCAATATACCCACTGTCCCTCCTCTGGACATGTCCAAACCACTGTCCCACCTCCTCCCTCTCTTTCACACACGTTTAATAAATTATTATAACGTGTTATTTTACATTATTAGTGTTTAACGTATCAGTGTTTTATACCGTTTCTTTTTATACTTTATATTTTTGCTACTTTTGGGTGTAACTTGGACCTTGAGTACACAATTTCGTTCCACCTCGTGTACGACATGTGATGTGAATGACAATAAAGAACCTTGTGCTCTGCCTCAACCACTGGTCTTCTGAAACGGTTTCAAACCTTAAAAAGTTCTTCAATCTTGACCAGCTCTTAATCCAGCTGCATTTGTCTCTCAAAGTCACGTGAAACCTCCGGTTTCTTCTGATTCAAGGTGCACCCCCAGTCTCAGGTCAGGCCTCGGTTTTCTCCTGAACATCCCATTTTCAGTGAAACACCGTTATGGTCCAGCAGGAAAACTAATGTTTTAAGTTTATAGTTTGAACCTGATCTATCTCTTTAGCTTCATGGTTTAGTCAACAAACCTCAGCGCACCAAGACGTGCCTTAAAAACAATTCATGAAACGTCAGCCGCCTCTGTGACAACAGCAGGCGCTGGTTCTGTTTGCGGTCCCTGTTGTCTGCCTGCGCCCTGCTCATTGGACCTGTTAGTCCTCAGAGATTAGTCCCGTCACAAGTTCCAGCTCGCCTCTGGCCGGGCTCCGGGACCAACCGGGTCTTTTATCAGCAGAACAACTCAGAACGGTCTTGGCTGCTGCACCTGGGTGTGTTCAAACCAGCAGCTGTTCAAACATTCGAGTGTTTCAGCACCGAGCGGGTCCGTTTGTGCTGCACCGTTCTTCTGGAAGAGTCTGTGACTCATGCACACGCAACGTTCTGCTCTGCCCGAGAGAACCGACGGGCCTTCATGTCAGCTCCAAGCACAAAACTCACTATTAGTAACTCTGTGCATTGGATACCTGCCACAGGAGGTGTGTGTGTGTGTGTGGGG